TTATGTAAAGGTGCAAATTTCCAATGATGAATGTCATTATATTGTATACCTTAAATGTACCAATAAAATTAATAAAAATTAATAATAATCAGAGACCTGAGGATGTAGTTCAGTGTGAAGGCCCTTGGTTTAATACCCAGTGCCACCAAACAATAACAACAGAAAAACCCTACTCTCTGTATTGTTCAGCTTTCCCATTATTGGAATATAATAACCAACATCACCAACTTAAAGGAGTTGAGGTTTACTTTGGCTTATGGTTTCAGCAGTTTAGCTCTATGGTTGGCTGTTCCCAAAACAGAGGTAGCATGGCATAGGAGACAGCAAAAGAAAGCTGCTCCATTCATGGCAGCCAGGAAGCAGCAAGAGGAGGAGGAGGGACAGAGAGAAGGGGTCAGGATAAAAATACATCCTTTGAGCTCATGCTTCCAGTTACCTACCTTCTCCAACCAGGCTTCACCTCCTAAAGGTCCCTTCAACACTCTTGTGATCAAATTGCCTTTCCAAAGCCTCACTTCTGAACACATGAACCTTCTGAGGTACGTTATAGATCTGAGCCATGACACTTTCTAATATGGAAAAATAAAAACAAAAATAATAGTTCAGTTTTTGCTTCATATTAGGGACAAATACAAAAGATGACTTGTCTTCACATAGATAATGCAAGAGTAGAAGGCAGTTTTGATCCTGTTGTGGAATAAGTTAAAATAAAAATTTGTAATCAATATACTTTTCTCTGCAACAGAATTCCTATGGCATTATGAAATTAATCAAAATATATCCTTTCCATAAAAATTTCAACTAAGTTTAACATGGTAATGCTAAACTTCATTTTTACAGACTCAACATGCTAAATTTTATCTTATACTACAATATTATATATGATGAATATAAAACAAACACTTTATATATTGGGACAGATGGAGAAAAATAGCTAAATAAAAATGGTTTGCCCAAATTTTCACTATGTGAGGCAATGAAACATGAAGATTTAATATTCAACAGTCTTTTTATTTTAATTATTCTACAAGAGTGAACCCATGGTGATTAGAGAAGTTTGTGTGTTAAATTACATTGTTTGATTGTTGCTTAATTCTGAGTGTAATTTATATCAGCTAGCTAATTTCTACATTAACCAAAATATGCTGCTAGTAGACAAGAAAACATAATAAGGTGGGAAAGGTATTCCTAACCCATTGTTAACTTACCAAAATACTGAGTTCTAGAACATCTGAAGGATACATTAATCTCACTATTGGCCAATAATGTTAATATTAGCTTCATTTCTGACGGTATCTCACATTCTTTTTGCATCAAGGTGAGAGATAAATAAATATGTTGTCAGTGGTATTAAATATTTATCACATTTGAAAACAATGTCAATCTCAGGAAGAAATACTATGGTATGTTAGAATCAGTATATAAATAATTGGATATTTATGAATACAGTAGTTTGTTCTCACAGTTTGCTCTCAGAGAATTAACATGCTCCTGTATGTGCATGCTGGTACAGATGAGATAAAAATGAGAATGAAGAATTCTCCAGGGGAGAACAGTCTTACATTAGATCCAAATAGAGGCAGAAAAGAAAAGACAGTTCTAACTCTGAGTCTGACATCCTAGTGAAGTCATGATTGTGCAGATCATAAGTGAGAAGGAAATTAGCAGGAGGATATTTAGAAATAGCAAGTGTGGATGTTTTTGTGGGTCAAGTTTTGCAAAAACATTTCAAAAGTAAGATGGGCCAAAAAAACCCAAACCACTTCTCTAACATCTTCACTATCAATGGCATTAGAGGAGGCAATTATTGAGAAACTGTATTCTTTCAAATGGCCTTAAATTGAAAGCATAGTCAATGTGTCCTAAAGCCTTCTTTGATTGACTATCTTTAAACCACCTCAGCCTATCACAATCCTCAATGTTGTCTGTAATATTTCTTGGTTTCCTACATCGCTGGATCCAGACAGGATTGTAATAACCAAACATATCCTAGAATAGTCCTTTTTAGAAACATCTCAAATGCATCTAGGATTCGATCAGGTATCACATTGTCTATGTTATTTATTAACAAAATATTTCAAATGTACTCTACAGTAGAATAAAAAAGCAAAAAATTAATCTTAGATGCAATAAAATTATTAAAATCAGTTTTACAATTAGATTTTCTAAATGCATAAGTACGTTATGACATTTCTAGGTTGGCTAAAGAACTACTGAGATATGAAGTCTTATTGTTTATTAGATTTCAGAATTAAATGAGAAAAACTTGTTTGGAAAAGAAGCAAACTTTTTTCCTATTTTGAAGTATGTGGTCAAATAGACAATATTTTAAAATAAGTTTATAATGTAGTATAATTCGTGAAACTCTTATTTAAATAGAAAAAATGCATCATGTATATTAGGAAACTTCATGTGGCCAGGTAGTACTATGCTAGTACTAAACCCCAAAAAGAAAAAAAAGAGGGGGTGGAGGAGCATAGACCACACACATATTTGTCATTCAAAGGACATTATATTTTTATTAAAGACATTGGGAATTCTCCTTGGGAACCACTGTCTGGTTTCTTGTTGAGTGTGGGAATGTGCTCCTGTATTTTGACTGCCAAACTAAACATTAAGAATTCAGAATAATTTTAATTTTTTGAATAGGTGAGAGTAAAATGTAAAATGGTTTCCCTTATAGAAAGATAGTATATGCACCTTTATTCAAATAGTTTACTTGCTTAATTAATATACATACAACCAAATATATCATATTGGCTTTATACAATAGTAGTAGATATATTTTTGAAAATTCAACTGATAAGATGGATAGATGGAACCTTTAATATCACATAAAACTGGCATTAGAATATAGTAGCCTATACTAATATCTATTTTCTATTACATAAATCTTTACACCTTCTTGTTCTTCCAACTAAGGAAGAAGTTGTAAGAAGTAAACAGATGGTAAATGCTATTTATTCTCCTTTTGGAGAATATGGAAATTCAAATTTAAAATTTTAATCTAGAATTATCTCAGAGACTATAGTATGTTTTACCTTAAATAGATTCTATGTCAGTATGAAATACTTTAATGTTTAATCCAAATTTGAAATGAGGTTCAGTTTTATTACTTTGGTTCTCTTGTTTAATGTTCCCTTTGGATGGCTGAACCATTGGTGATGAATTTTTTTAAGAGGTTTAAGTGGCTGTGGAAAGTCCAATTAGTAATGCAACTGATAACTTAGCCTGGGGATTTAGCTCAATGGCGCCACGTCTGCCTAACAAGTGCAAGGTCTTGAGTTCGATCCCCAGTACCGCAAAAAAAAAAAACAAAAAAAGTAATGTAACTGATAACTATTCAAGAATTTCTGAAAATATTTCATATTCTTCAATGTGCTAAGAAGTGTAAATTAGAGGTGTGTGTTCAAGAATTAACTGAAGCACTGGTTACTGCTAACCGTGAATGTGAGGGGTTCTGACCGTATTGGTTGCGCTCAATCTACCCTGTAAATTATAAACGCAGATTTAAACAATAGTTACTCTTAAATTCTTTTTAATATTGCTGGAGTCATATATATAAAATAATAAATAAATGCTAATGTAAATTTATTGAATATTTGGAGTATTGTCCCACTTTCCTTTTTTGTAATTTTAAAAGACTAAATTAAATACAAATAGTATCACCAGATTCTGAAGTACATTAATTTTCTCTATTTTTATAGATATTATAGAAACTCAAGACCATTAGCTTAGGACAGAAAGAAAACCACCTAAATGCCAATAAACAGTAGAATGGATAGATAAAAATATATCTCTGCAATGGAATGCATTCAAAGATGAAAATTAATGAGCACAGCAAAATACTGAGTGAAGGAAGTCAAATAAGAACTCTATGATTTTTTTAATACAGAGCTCAATATCAGAGCAAACTATTTTTATATGATGTAGGGATGAACTTCACACCAAAACTAGAAAAGGGTGAACATAAACATTGACATACAGGTTTCCTCTAAATAGGAGAGCAGTAGTTGGAAATAAGAATTGACATTGGTAGGCATTTTCGGGTGCTGGAAGTATTCTGTTTCGTTACATAAGTGGCAGATACACAAATAGTTAATGTTTGTAGTTTCTGTATTTGTGCCCTAAATTTCCATAAAACAGATGGCAATTAATGAGGATGATGAAGAAGAAGGAAGAGAAATGTGAGTGGAACAGGGGAGAGAGAGAGAGAGAGAGAGAGAGAGAGGAGCAAGGAGGGTGGAAGGGAGGGAAGGGAAGGGAGAAAGAAAGAAGAAAGAAAGAGAGAGAGAGAAAGAAAGAAAGAAAGAAAGAAAGAAAGAAAGAAAGAAAGAAAAGAGGGAGAGAGAGGAAGGAAGGAAGGAAGGAAGAAGTGAAAGCAAGGAAAAAGGCAGGAAAGGAGGAAAGATGGATACATTAAAAAGGAAAAGAGAATTAGAATTAAAATGGAGAAAATCAGGGCATGTAATATATTGTGTGTGTACTTCATCCAAGATGTACAGTTGGACTTCCATAGGAAACATATCACAAGGAGTCAAGGGAGAAACTTGGTAAGATGAGCATAATTTTGCTCCTTTTATTAATTGTATTGCACATACATTCACAATCACACCTCCATAGACATATGCACCTGTATATGCACAGATGCTCACACACTCCCCTTACCCTTTGTCAGAACTAAGTACACTGGGAAAAACTTCAGGAGCAGAAAGAAGCAATGTTCTTAGATGGGCTTCATTTGCTGCCATTCCGGTTTAAAGGGACACAGCAAAGGAAAACACTATTATAAGTATCAATCTGATTTCAAAATGTGTAATTCTAGAGTAAGGAAAAGTAAATATATTTTGAACATCTTTTCTTTTTTTGTGTGTGCCATGCACTTTTCTAGATCCTTTTTCTCCTAATCCATGTAGTCTCACAGCAAAGTTGCAAGAAAAAAAATAATAAAGTTTCCAAGAGGTCAAGAGATGTTCTCTGGACTCACAGTAGAAAAGTGGTAGCAACAGAATTTGCCCCTGACTCCCTTTATTCTACTATAGCAAAGTAACTTTCCTCCTCCAACTCCCAATCTCTCTCTCTCTCTCTCTCTCTCTCTCTCTCTCTCTCCATGAACCTGTACCACTCTTCACAAATATTAAGGTGACTGTCCTGAAAATTACAAAATATTTATTCAAGTAATGATCCTTTTGCAAGTAATTAGGAAATAAATTTACTTTGCATTTAATTGCCACTATGTATTAAGAAATTAATGTATACCTAGATTTGGCGATAGTTGCATAAAAATATATGTGGATGGTTATATAGTATAGATTCAGTTAGCTTTAATTGATAGCAAATTAGTGATTGAACAACATGTTTGACAAAAACAAAATGACAAACCTGCAATAAGGTATAAGTTGATTTTATGAAATCAAAGCCCAAACGTAATGTTTGAATGATTTAAAAATATCTCCCAAATGAATATCATGCTATGCCTTTATAAAAGAAACATTTATTTCTGAAATAAATATTGCACTCTATCTTTTTCAGTAACACCGAATTAGACTTATCTTTTGAGTATCAAGTT